TAATAGCTTTTTTAACTTGATCTTTTAATGTTATACGATAATTGTAAACCACTGGACATTCGATACTTATTGATAAATGTGGACCTTCACATTGAGCACATTATATTGGCTTTTGGCAGTGATGATTAAACTCCCAATTATCTAAACATTTACTATATCGAGGGTTAATTTTACATTCAGGTTTAGTATGACCAATCATCCAACAGTTTGAGCAGTAAGTGAATTTTAGACTAGAAAGAAATGCAGTTATTGGAAGAAGTAAATGTTCGATTGCTATACGACCGATCTTTAATATTTCTTCATATTCATTTGCATCGGGTACACAAAATCTATAATCATTTGTTGATCTGGGTCGATGGTAGTTGATTTTTTAGAAGGAACTTGCTGAGCTAATTGATTTAGTAATTTCTTGATAGACCAATCCATTTAATAGATCAGCTGGTGCGTAGCGCACTACCAGTGCACAACAATCAGGTAGAGAAGGAGGTCGTTGTATTTCAACTTCAATGTTGTCCATTTCATTTGGCCACTTACAGTTCCAAAGTAATAAGAAATCATTTTTTGATGTTACGTCCAATTTATATCGATTTGTACCAACAGGTATCAGTATAGAAAAGTCTCCTATTGGTTCAGATGATTGTTGTTGGACTGTTTGACGAATCCATCTTGTCACTTTCATGGCTGGTGGTTTACTACATTGAGTTATATTACTCTCAAATTTTATATAAAAGCACGGTAGATTATTCGCTACTGCTCGTTTAAGATGTGCTGTTGGTAGATGAAATGGTTTAACTGTTGTTGATATTTGTGGAGGAGCTGATGGTGTAGTTTCATGAGGTCTTGACTTCTTTATTTGTCTTTGAGATTGATTTTCGGATCCACTTTCTTCTAATGGCCGTCGTGGTGTTGATGAAACTTGGTGGTTTGCTGAAGATGGACTTGGTCGTGTAACCCGATCGATTATAGATGTCTTTGGTATCTGGTTCTGGTGATGATGATGGCAATGTATTTCTTGAATGTGACCGAATGTAACTGGATGGTCCATTAGCTGTGGTAATTGTCGTGTTACTTGTAGTCGACTTGATAGTGATTGGGTAGTGGTGCGTGTATGATGAGTTATTGGTTTATTTTGCTGTTGGTTCATGTATATATCCAAGTGTTGTTTCTTGTAAATTTCTGTCATGTAGCGTACAAATTGATCATCACTGTTCATTTCATTGTACCAATAACCGAAAAGGATGAGTCAAGGGGAGAAAAGCGTATTTCTAAGTATTTCTGTATTTCAGAAATACGTGGAAATACCTAGAAATACGTGGAAATGCTAAGTTTCGAGCACGACTGTGTTGTTTCAAATTCTAAGATTTTTCTCTCTCTTGATCATTTTTTCAGTTCATTGGTGCAAAATATTATATCATGAGTCCAACGCAATTGCAAAAAAATGTTTTAATACAACAAATCTATTACAGAACACTAAGAAAAGAAAAGATAATAATATTGTTTTTTGGTATCCTTATTCTTGTCTATTTTTTTCAATCACTCTCTTTGAACGATCAGATGACAATTGATTGTTTTTGTCAGTTAGAAGCCAACATGCTGTTTGTTTGGGCATCTATTTGATACCATTGTTCAGATAAATTTTAAAAATAAGAGTCTTTTAGATCTGGATTGATCGAATTAAATAGGCGTGTACCCAAGGGGGTAACCACAGCACCTAAGTACCAGATTTTGCTTCAAGATGCCGAAAAATTGCTCAGGTGCTGAAAAGATGCTGAAGAGGTCCTGAGGTATCAAGAAGGTGCCGAGAAGGTGATGAGGTGCTGAAAAGGTGCTGAGGTATCGAGAAGGTGCTGATACGTTTTTTAAAGTAAGATAGCAATTGAAGTGATAGTGTATAATAGGCTAAAAGCGCTCTCTATGTTGACCATGGTTATAAGATATTCTTAATGGTTGAAACAAATATCCAATCAGACATTTACCGACTCTTAAATTTTTTTCTGATTTCATTATTTGAAACATACACATAGTGGTATATTCTGTTTGTAAGACATAAACAGTAGCTATGTCCTACTACGATATCAATTAGTCCTTGTAAACTTTTTTTCTTATCTATTCAATACTTTCAATCGAATATAAGGTTAAATTTCCTCATAGATAAAACAAACATTTCATTACTATTTGAGCAGGGGAAATTACTTATGAATTAAAGAAAACTTTATAAAACCGGAGTTCTGATCCCACGAAGTTAACGTTCAAAGCTCAGAAGTATAACGAAAATCTTGGCAAAACTCAGAACCAGACCTCGTAGTCGTCCTATATTTCCAATATCTATAGAAATAGTCCTATAATGTCCTCTTTTCTTAGGTATTTGTCCTATATTTCCTATATATTTCGAAAAAGTAAAGATAAGGAAGTTACGGCTAGGCAGGAGTAAAAAGCCCTGACTGTTTCACAGATATAATTCCGATAGTGAGTCCGAAAAAAATTTGTTCAGCCACTCCGTTGGAATCTTAATTGAATTTTGGAGTTCGGTGCAGTTCATTACTTAATAAGTATTCAAAAGAAAAGAAAAGTTGCATTTGCTAAACAACTACAGTAACAAAACAAGAAACAAAAGACTTAAGTTGATTTAATCCTAATATCAAGTGAAAGAGATCTTTTCCTGTCATTCATTTATATATTTGCAAATAATTAATTATGCAATTTTTAAATCTATTCAATGTCAATAATCACGAAGATACATATAGGAGTGACATGGGTGAGGGTGAGAGCATGGTACCACCTCAAACCTTTCAAAAATGAGAACAACTTCCCATCATTTCTGGGAAATTTCAGACGAACTTTTCTCCGTTTTCGAAAAAAATATACTTGACCGAACAAATGAAATAAATTTACTTGAATCAATCACATATCCATACACCAGTCATCTGTATTCGACACGTGTTGTTCGCATGTTTTTCCATATTCGAAAGTACCTCCACACCTGCTTTGACCTCTTTGTGCCCTCCTCCCCCTAGTCAGAGAATATAAATTGTTTATAGAAATATATTTAGGCGTCTTTTCTATACATTTTTCTTACGTTTTATTTTATATTATTCTTATAAAGATATTAGTCAACAATATTTTAATAAATCAACTGGAGACTATTATATGATTTTTAACGTTTTTTGGATCGAACTATCTTAAATCTCTTTTCTTCCGTAATCGAGTGTGGGTGTGGATGTGGATGTGAGTGGGTGTGGTATATGGGTGTGGGTGCTTTTCACAGAACACCGACACCAATACCAACACCCACACCCGCACCTACACCCCACACCCACTCATGCACACCCACCCATACACACCCACGCTCGATTACGGAA